AATTTAGTGGTGAACTATAATGGCTGATAGTATACGAGTAGCTTAGCCAATCAGATTGCAGCATTTGCATTAGTATACTAGTAGAATTCTACTAATATGAATTAGAGTCCTCTCAGTTCTCTGATGGTACTAATTCTTAAGCTTGAAGCAAATAGGTAAAGTCTGTATATGAGCCAAGTGGTTCCCCAGTGCTTTATCTCGAGCATCAAGCAACTAGGAGTATTTCTACTTCACCCTGGATGGGATACTAGGCCAGAGTTGCCCTCCCCCTGCCCCCCCCCCTCCCCCCCCAGCATTAAAATATTAGTTGGTACCCACTTATACACCTGGGTGGAGAGAGGCACTGCAGAAGAAAATAATAATGCAGTATCCACAGCCAGGGGTCGAACCTAAACTGCTTGACCCAGAGATGAGAGCAATAACCATGAAGCCACCATGCCTCTTCTAAAGTAAATAATTGAATAATTACACCAAACAATAGTCAAACTGTTCAATATCACTGTCACTGCACATTTCAGAAGCGGAGATGACTTCTCTTATTACACTTTAAGAAATAAAAGAAAGCATGTTATGAGAATTTTGATTCAACACGCATTCTTAAATGTCATTGAAAGATTCAAGACTGGCCAAAACCAAATATATTTCCCAAAGATGAGACCTGACTTCAACTGCCTGAATTTATTCATGTTTTCTTATGTAATCGACCACCACGATTAGCAGGAGAAAAGAACATTGATGGATTCTTTAGTTTATTGGTGTTGCCTCAGATTTGTGATTCCTTCTTCCCTAAATGAGAAATCGTCTATTTACAAAGATCTTTTAGGGATCTCAACTTGTGTGGATTAATTTAGATTAAGCAAAATCCTCAAAGATCTTTGTGGATTTAAAAATTCTTGCTGGGATCTTCCACATTCTTGCAAAACTAGCAAATGTGTGAAGATCTTTAAATAAAAATAAATAGGTGTTTTGTCAGGGTTGGGACAGCTTGTGTCATGCAAGGTTTGTAAAGTGGGATTGATGATACTAAAGGTTATTTGCAGAGCTTTAGTGCTAAATTTAGCAGAAAGCTCAGAATGCATGTTAATATGTCTAGACACGTAGAGTATCTTTACAATGATTATGACCAATAATTTCTTCAAATATGCTCACATCTATCAGATAATGCTGCCTCTCAAAAGAAAACCGTGACACGAGGTTAATTGAGCCTTATTGATTTCGCCTAGAGCTCTATTTTCGTCATTGTCTATGTTTCATGCATATTTTACAACATCAATATAAGCTTAGCGAACCTTACAAGTTTCAATATCATGAGTTAATAAAATTGTACGTATGCAAACCTCGTTAAAACGGTTTCCATGCATCGAGATGGAAATAGCTCCTAAAAGTCTCTAAGAGACTAGTGTTAAAAGGAATAAATGAATGTATAATATCTAAGTTTATCATCTATTTGTAATAAAAACAATGCCTCATTCCTCAGACGTCTTCAAAACTCCATAGTGATCCAATGCTTTCTCGTGCGACCAACTTGTCCTTTATCATATAACTTCGAGGTTACCCACACGATATCTTGTCCTTTTCAAGTGTTCCGTGGACATGTCGCCAACAAATAGATCATTCAAAATCAAAATGACTTGTTGAGACCATGAATATGTAAGCTGCAGTAACGTGATGGAAACTTGAACGGCGAAACAGGACAGAATCGAGTCGAAAAGCCAACCGCAGTTTCGCCCAAAATAGCGCAACGCAATCTCCCAGCGTGAGCAACTGTCGGGCGTTTTACCTTCGTTGTTCAAGATATCCACACTGCTATGATAATCAAAATGATCAAAAAGTTCCTGTAGTACAAAGCAATGAGAGCAACGGCTATCATAAATCCGATAACAACGGCCAACTTCAGAAATTGCCGGGGACGAAGTTGCAAATCCCCGTTGTCCAAGCTCGCCGGTTGACTGTTGCATCGCTTCGTCATAAGTTTATCAGCGTTAAAAATTTAAGTCGAAAACAGTAGAAAAATATATAAACTTCTCCTTGCTTCTTTACCCATTCAAGACAAGCACGACGCATAAAGAACGCACAAATATTTGATCAACCGTTCATCGTAATCAACAGCTGTCAAGATCAACCGGAAGTGGTAGTTATCCGCTGACCGACTTCTTTTCGTCATTTCCGGTGGGGTCATGTCGGTCGAGGTGGCGTGACGTGCATGATACGAGATGATGATCAAAGAATGTGGAAAAGAAATCTTGTACACTAAAATAATTTGGAATTTTAGCCATAAACACAATTACAGTGAAACCTCTATCAAGCGGACACCCTCGGGACCTTCCCAAGTGTCCGCTTAAGTCCAAACTGAAGGCGTTTTTATTTAGGAAAGCGTTTGAATAGTTCTTGATGTTTTATATACATTTTTACTAGATCCCTTGCTTTTAATATTTTAATTTTTAGCTCGTTACCTTAGCCTAATGTACATAATTATTGTAAATAATTAGTTTTAAATTAATCACACTATTCATAGCATATCGTTTAATTTATATTACTCATATGGTTTGTTAGGCGCATTTGATCATATTCACATGTTAATTTGCGCCTTAGAAATATTAAATATTATTATTTATTATTATTATTAATAGAGGTTGTCCGCTTAATAGAGGTTTATAACAATTGCACAATGAATAACCCATATTTATTGCCGACATTTTGATACTAAAATGGTTGAAATCTTATGAACAGATCGCGATCAGAGACGCTCTTGTTATTATTGTTGAGTGATTATTCTCCTTTAAGGTGGGAAGGGGGGAGGTGTAGGCGGAGCAAGGAACTTTCGAGGTGAGGGGGCGGTTGTACACTGGCTAGGAACGGAACACTTTACGGAATTTTTAATGCGTGCCAGTCCGAGGTGACGACGTCCGCCCCTGGCATACATTTCTTTTTAAAAATTGACAAGTTTGGGATCCCAGATCTTCACGAGTTTGCAACAGGTTCTTATAAAACACATCGCATGTTTGTTAAATTTGGCATGATAAATTGATCGGCGGAGGTGGGTTTTTGTCTATATGAAAAATACAAAAATTGTTGATATTGCGTGACATCTGTAAAAAGATCCATTGTTTAAAAAAATGCAGAACGAGACTATGTCACGCAAAATTTACTTGAAGCAAAGTAATAGGTGAATTCAAGAGAAAGTGAGGTGATCTCTTGGTAAATTTCATATTGAAGCTAAATTTTGCGTTTGTCTATCGTTGTTCTTTGGAGTAAAAGTATCAGGAGCCCATGACGGGTAGCTGCATCCATGGAGAGGAAATTCTACGATGTTGTTATCATTGGAGGTGGTATCATGGGGTCATCATCGGCTTACTTTCTTGCGAGCAGAATGACGCCTGAAATTGGCAAAATTTGTGTAATTGAGCGTGATCCTACGGTAAGTTATATCAAACCAACTTTGGTGAAGGAATCTAGTCACACAAAGTTGGCCAAAGTTTTGGCACGTTAGGCATGGGTCGCACTAGAGTGAATTCTGTTTGCTTTACCAAAAATTGGGTCAAAATTGGAGCTTTTCCTAATGCGACCCCTACAAGCAAAATTTGGAAAAATTTGTCAGTGGACCAAAAAGATCAAAGACGCCGTAGTGTATGGGTGGAACAGGCAGATTTTTCCAAAATCGCCCAAAGAAAACAGAAATTCGTTAAACAAGTCAACTGCGTGTTTATTTAAGAAAATTGATGGACAGTATGCCTTCACGGGAAAGCATCATTGTTTACAAAAGCGTTTTATCTTTTTTACACAAGAATTTAGCCTTGTCGTGTGGCTTCATCTCCGACTGGAAAACGAACCCCCCAAAAAATTGGTCAGTGCCGTTATTTTTGGGTCTTTCGGACCGACCAAAAAAAAGATTCGCTCTAGTGCGACCCATGACCCATGCGACCCTAAATTTAATTGTCCTGATATAAAAATAATTCCAACAACGGTTCAAGCCGGACAGAGCGTTTATTTTATAGCTGACTAAAAAATAACAAGACGCAGTTGTAAATGCGTTTAATCTACTTCGTTTAATTTACAAAAGAGCAAAGCATTAAGATAATATGCTTTTTTGCTAAAAAATTATTGTTACGTGGTTCATGACACTTTCCACTTAATTTGCATTACAAAATGGTAACAGTTTCCAATGTCTGTCGGCGCTTCCTTACGACCTCTTTAAAACTGTGGTATAGAGTCCTAAAGTGATGACGTCACAAAAATAAAAGTTTTGAAATTATGGGATATGA